GATTTATAAATGTCCCAATATATTTGGTTATCTGTAGATTGGGTTACTATGCTTGAATAAACCCTTACTATCTTCAAGCATTTACATTACACAGATCACAAAATACATCTAAAGAAAAGAAAGTACATTTAAAGCAAAACGTCTCTTTTTTCTTTGGATACAAGAGAGACGGGGAAAGAGTAATTTTTTTCCCCCTCTGTCAGTGGGGGGAAAAGGGGATAGTTTTGCTACTTTTAAATTGAGTGACTGACACTAAGGCCTCATTTACACAGCGTAGAGTGGAGCTTTAAAGAAGGAGGGAGGGACAAGTGTTGCATGTGATAGCATGCAGCCAACTGTTCTACCCTATGGGAGGACGCGGCCGTATGCTGTCATACGCACACTCAAACTGCACATCCGTGCAGGTGTCCGAGGCAGACAGGATCGAGTATGGGCCACCCGCACGGATGTGCAGTTTGGGTCTGCGTAGTCCGCGTCCTTCCATAGAGACGAACAGGTGGCTGCGTGCAATCACACGCTGCACCTGTCCCTCCCAGGAACGGCCCAATATGGCCGTGCACGCCACACTGATCTGTATGGCCTCACTCTACGCTGTGTGAATGAGGCCTAACACGGTCCACAAACAGGGAAGTAATGCCATCACACACACACACACACCATACAAGCTTGTCCACATATATTAAGCTGGGCGATCTAGTGAATTGGTGGATGGCTTCAGCACAGTAACTAAAAGCAGACATGACCACCAGAACACCTTAGCAATGAAAGAATTGTTTCACATAGGAAAAAAAGTATTGTGCAGGCTGATGTAATGGAACAGCGCAGGATACCTTTCTCAATTCAAAGTTGCCATATGATGCCCATTTTGCTATGGGAATAAAGGAAACTATTCTTTCATGACTATGGTGTGCTGGTGAAGATTTCTACTTTTAAAGCGGATAACCCTTTCCTTTCAGATAAACGGTAAATAGCTGTAGCATTATAGCAAGTCCAATTGCCTTGAGTTACTTTTTTACAGATAGGGCATTATAAGGTTCTGAAGGTGCTATTTTCTACTGCCAGTCCTGAGAACATCAACAACCTCATACATTCCTGAGACTACACCAGGATTAATAAATTGCTGGATTTTACACAGGTTGACAAGCACGCTGCTGTTTTTCTATCGAGTAAGCAAGGTTTTATTGATCTTCAGCGCTGCATTCGACAGAAATGAGAAAACAACCTGTCACAATGCATTTTTCTACATTAATACCAGGTACAGCACACACTCTATAAAAGGAAAAGCTTATTGATCAAATCCAACTAGTGTGACGTTGGGGAGCCCACAGAGCACTCGCACAGAGGGTGTTTGAACAAACAAAGGCTTTTTATTGTCCTCTTCAGGGCAGTCAGAATGGTAAACACAAACGTAAGCTTTTCTTCAGCATAACTTAAAGTAGAATTAAGGTCTGGGCATTTTTTTACCTTAAAAAGGAGAACTATGAGGCGAGTGCTTTTCACTCACCTCATAGTTCTAGCCGACCTGTGACAATGAGACTGTCACAGGTCAGCTGAGTAGATCGGGAGGTGAGCGAACACATACCGGCGTTCGCTCACTTCTCGATCCTGTCACTGCTCTCTGCCGTGACAGGGGAGGGGCTGGATTCCCCGCTCCGACCCACCAGTGCTGACTGGCGTAAAGGACAGGGAGGGGGCGGGTACAGCTGGCTCTGCCTGTAGAAAGGCAGAGCCAGCTGGGCGGATCTCGACATCGATGTCGGGATCTGCTCCAGCGTCTCAGTTGAGCTAAGGGTGACGGGAGGACGCTAGTTTGTGTCCTCCCGCTACCCTAAGGAGAACTATGGAGAAAAGCCCTGACCCCATAGTTCTCCTTCAATGCATTCTCTTCATTAAGGTAAAAACGGCCCGGCACCTTTTTTCTACCCCAGTCCCCCTCAGTCTCCTACACACTTACCTGTCAGCTGCGCTCGTCTCCGCCACCGGTCCGAAGAGATCCTCCGTTCCCCGAACTTCCGGGTTGCGGGGGGAGGATACTGATGGCAGAGGAGCCATAGGCACCTTCTGCCATCAACCAAAGAGGGAAGGGGCGTGGCCTGCCACAGGGCTGCGTGTCTATGGACGCACAGAGCCACTGCGGAAACTAGCGGGGACGAGCGCCTCCATTAAAGCTATGGTGGCACCCGTGCAAAGGGCGGGGGGAAGTTTGCTGCAGGGAGCCACTAGAAAACGAGGAATTAGGCACTTTTAAGGAATAAAAGCAACAGCCTCCAGCAAAGGAGGGTCTCCTTAAAGGAGAAATAAAAAATAAAAAAGTTAGGCATTAATATCACTTTAAGGCAAACATAAAGCTGTGTCTCACCAGTTTGTCATGAACAAGTCCCAAAGTTTTTCAGCAATACAGAAGGTTGTTCATACATCAGCTCCAGCTGATCACTCTCGCCTCACAATTCCCCCCCTCAGGGTTAGGAGCCTCGGCCTGCTCATGGCCAGACACCCAGCAGCTTCGCCTCCCTGTGTGATGACGGTCCTCCCGACCTTTCGAAACACACCTCGTGTGCAACCGACCCTCCTGGCCTTGCCCACACAACGCGTGTGCCACAGGCCCTCTTGGCCTCTCCAACCAGACCCCAGCGTCACATGCACACAGTCTCCCACGCTCTGCATGTGCGACTGCACCCCTGACTGCCTCTTCCCATCTGTCAAGTCTCTTAATATGGCTGTTATCAGTCACCTGGACAGTCTGGCCTGGCAATTGGCTGCTCCTGGCCCCAGGACTGGAGATTTCATCCCGCCCAAGACTCTTAGAAATCTCCAGAGACCCAGATCCCAGTTATATTCCAGAAAACCCGGAAAGAACATGAAACCAAGCTCCTTCCCCGTAATACTATATATTTTCTGGACCCTCTCAGCCCCTCTGGCCGAGAGTCCTGGGCGCCAAACACACCAATCCCCATAGTGACACGGCACTGTCCTGTCACACTAGTTACACAAAAACATCACTAATAAAGATGCTCCCTACTAAACAGAACCTTCGCTTTTCCTCCTACCTTAAACTTGAACTCAAGCAAGAAATTATTTTAAGTTCTTGATGGAGTGGAGAAGAACTAGAACCTCTATCAGGTTTTTAATGAAGTCTACAATATAACCCAACATAAAATGGATTTGGCCGGTGTTCTACCTTCAATAACTAACTTTTTATGCAGTTGAAAAGTAGGATTTTGGTATTGCCCTTTTAATCCCTTTCTTTAAAGTCCAACGAGGGACACAGAAGTCTTTAATCCCCCTGCAGACATAAGTATTACCCAAAAGGTTAAACTCTGGCAAAATAAAAAAAAAACGTCAGACCAGTCCAGAAACTACAAAACAACCACAAAGCCGGGCATTTTGCGGGTTGGAATGCTTTAACTTCCTGCATTGTTTTTTTTGCATCCTTTAATTATCAAATAAGCCATTTACTCCCCACACCTTTCAGGAGCCCAAAATATTTTCTTTACTTTGTCTCAGAAAAATGGCACACTAACTAAAAGCAAAAAGGCAAGTAACAAAGTGAGTTCACTCACACATCAGATAGTTTGTCATCCTCCTCATCGGATTCTCTCTCAGAATCTTCCGGTTTCGGACTCCTCTGATCCTTCCCTTTGCTAGTTAAGCTTCTTCTCACAGGAGTTGTATCATTCTCCTTTTCCTCAGGCCTGTCCTCCTCTTCTTCTACATCTTTGTTTTCTTTGTTGCTATCTTTTCCTTTCTCAGAGTCTTCCAGGTCCTTTGTCGATGAGTCTGCAATACTAACAGGTCTTCGCCTCGCCTAATAGAAAAAGGGTTGCAATTCATAAATGGCAGTTGCTCAAAAGCACACAATCTACAAGAAATTACCACCATAAATGTTAAAAATACCATCTACAAATATGATAAGTGAGCTGAATACAATGGGGGGAATTTATCTATACTGGAGTAGGCAGAATCTGCAGCAGTTGCACATAGTAATAAATCAGCTTCTCTCAGCTTCTCTCTTCAGTTTGTTCAGTTAAGCTTTGAAAATGAAAGATAGAAGCTGATTGGTTGCCATGCAAATTCTGTCTGCTCCACTCGATAAATTCCACTCAATCGTTTTAAAAAACATTAAAGAAGCTTTCACAAATGTTATTTTGATAACATACTGATGGCTTCCTATGTAGTAAATCCATAGTGGAAAAAGAAAAATCAACTGACACTTTTAAACATCTGTTGAGATACAAATACAGTGGTACCTCGGTTCACGAACTTCCATAATTCTGGTCGCGAACCAAATCAAACTGTGATCAGACCGCGAACTCGACTAGGAGGGAGCCAGGACCAGTGTCAGAGCAGGGAAGATGGCTGCGGTTGTGTTGGTCACCCAAAGCAGAGTTTGCGAACGGAAGCAAAATTTTGCCGAACTTCCTGTTCGTGAACAGAAGCGTTCGCGAACCGAGGTACCACTGTACATAAGCTGGCACTGCCAACTTGTTATTGAATGTTTGGGGCTGTGAAGCAGTCATTCGCATTGTACCATTGCTTAGCGAGTCACTGGCCCAGAACAAGCTTCAGTATAAGAGGTGTCACAACATTTGATATGTACATGCTTGTTCCAGGTCTGCAGCTCATTTGTATCCCAACACATCGCTAAATGCAGCCTAAAATGACATTCAGTGAACAAAAATAGGATGCACAACAGTTAGATGTGAACCTAATTTTCCGTGCAGTAAATATTACATTTAAGATGTTTGTTTTTTTAAACAGTCATTTTTGATTAGGTCTACAGGTCCTTTAGGAAGGTCTATGTATGAGTTTACAACACATAGCTTTTTGATGAAACAGTTAACAAAACCAAACATCATTAATAAATATCTTATCTGAGGAATAGACTTCATGCACATATAAAACATACCCTTGGAGATTTCATTTCAATTTCAACCTCCTCTTTTTCATTGTCGCTGCTAGAATCTGTGTCGTCGTCTTCCTTGACGCCAACACTGACAGGGGGGGTTTCAGGTTCGGTCTGCTCGCTGTTCTCCATTGATTCTTCCTGCGTTGGGGTCTCTTCTACTGGCTGGGGATCATTGTGATGAATAGTCCTAAACTTAATTTCTGCAGAGCGGCAATACTCCTCAAACCCATACAAATACCTGGAATCGGAAGGACAACATATTATACTATTAGCAACTCACAGAAGGATGGATATGTGAATAAAGAGAACGCTATTGTGCACAATTTTGTTGACACTGTCAAATTATAAAACACAGCTTATATTGTGCAGCATAAAGTACATGTAAATGTCAAAAAGGAACTTCTGTTATCTGGTCCCTTTTGGTCCGGAAATTCAAAAAATACCTGTGTTTCTCATCTGAAATCTTGTGATCTGATAACATGGGAAGTTTCCTGTGCAAACAATTTTACAGTAAGTAAAAAAAACATCTTATTTTCTTTATTGTCCATTGAAGGAGACAAGAAACCTTTTACCTCCAGGATGTCCAAAAAGAAGTCCAACTCAGGGGTGGGCAAAATGGAGAAACACTAACAGGCCCAAGAAAAGAAAAAAAAAAAAGAACTAGGGACTGTCTGCTACTCTCAGAGCTGCTTAAAAGAACCTTATGCCCCAAGCTGGTAGAACGTCAAGAATGTTTGAACAGAACACCAGGGGGCAGCCTTTCAAATCTTAGAGACAGTTGCTTGCTGTTGAAAAGCCCAAAAAGCTCTCAAAGATCAAGAAGAATCACCTTGACCGGACAGACTGGAACCTGATCCTTGAGACTAGGGATGCAACGATACCGGTATTTCGGTATTGAGTACGAGTACCAATATTCTATTTTCGGTACTCGCCGATACCGAGTACTGGAAGTCCCATTCAGAAAGCCAGACGGCGTGTAATGACTCGCCACCTGGCTTCCTAATTAGCCGGGAAGCCGGGCAGAGTGTAAAGACTCGCCACACGGCTTCCCGATTAGCAGGGAAGCCGTCCCCATGCGGCTTCCTGGCCAATCAGGAAGCCGGGCACTGTGTAATGAAGTGGCACCCGGTTTCCTGATTGGCCAGGAAGCTGGCTCCATGCTCCCTCCTCAGGAGGCGACACCGCTCTCCGAGATCTGCCCACGTCTGTCTGTACAGCGCCCATGTGATCGGCCCTCAGCCTGCTACTGTGCACGCGCAGACTGCCCAGCGCTCTCATACATTCAGAAATCCTGTGCATGCGCAGTAGCAGGTTGAGGGCCGATCACGTGGGCGCTGTGCACACAGGAGACGGCAGATCACAGAGAGCTTGGAGAGCGGTGTCTGCCCAGCTGGCCGAGGGACTGGTACGGTAATGACTGCTGCTAAGGATCTATGTGAGTGGAATGATTTGTCTGCAGGGTGGGGGTCGTGTCACCATATTATCAGATTTGTTTGCCCGGCTCGACACTTATTGGCTGCGAAGCCTGCTTCTCAGTCAATCAGCATTAAGCCGGCCAAACAGCATGGATCAGGCCAATCAGCATGGAGCCAGCTTCCCGGGTCCATGTTTCCTCGTGTCACAGCTGGTCAGAGGAAATTTCCCTCTGATTGGAAGTTCCAGTATCGGGAAAGGTATCGGAGCATTTGGGCGAGTACGAGTACTCACCCAAATACTCGGTATCAGCACCGATACTAGTATTGGTATTGGTGCATCCCTAGTAAATAGATACCCAACCTGTCCAGGTTAAACATTGTGTGCGTCCATAAAACGGCGAAAAAGCCCCACAAGTCATCAGTTTAGAGAAATGTGTAAAAAACAAAACAAAAGGTTTATCTAAAGGATTTGGCAGACGTTGAGGCCTAAACATTGCAGGTGAACTTGGAGCCAAGTTCGGGAGGCAGGGGGGGGGGGATATGGACATAGATGGTGTAGGAATAGAGAAACAAAAAGGACATTTCTTAACCAATAATAAGAGAGAAGTTTGGCAGTGTGTTCCTTTGGCTTTTTTCCCCAATGAAGAGTAGTACTCCTGCCACTTGGTAGCAGTGTAGTTAAGTGGTATCAAGAGCAGATCCCAAGAGACTTTGTCCCTTGAAGGCCCCTGCAAATCAGATGCTTCACAGATGCAGGGCAGGTTCCGCAAACCAGCAATAACACCCAACTGTCCTCTGCATATGTACTGACAGTGCATATGTACTGACAGGAGACCCATGAGGGAAATGAGACGGTAAGCCTTTAGCAGTCCGTCACAACGGTAACTTAAAGCTACAACCTTTTTGTCTAAATGGTATCACCCACAGCAGTGGTAAAATCTCTGATGGGACTTTGACCAGTCAGCCAAGGTTTGGCAAAGTACGGTCACAAAGAAAGATGGGGTGAAGAACAGGACAAACAGGTGCAAGGCTAAGTTTTTGGGGAAAGACAACATTTTGTCAGAGTGTTTTCCATTGCTGTTAAAGAAGATATAGAACAGCGTGAGCACTAGTAAAGTCTTTGCAGTCTTACCCAAAACTAGGAATAGTACTTGCAGAAGCAACAGGCTGACCCTCTAGTTTCAGAGTGGTCAGCACCGCATCAATAACAGCGACTCAGAAACAGACAGTCTCAGCATCCGATGGCTCAGAGGCCACCAAAACTGCAGGCAGATCAGATAATCTGTGAGAAAAGGCACGAGAGTTCGCTGGTGGCCTCAAAAACTTAGCCAAGAGGGCAGAGGAATCAGCCACACCTTAAAAGAGATAAGGAACACTCCAAAGATAGTAATGACTCGCTGAAAGCAGCGCTTGAATAATAAAAGGGGGTCACGGGGTACAGTGGGACCACCCCCTTTCCCCTTCGTGTCTAGATAATTGCCCTTTTACTGCTTGTTACTACGTAAAAAGATTAATGACCATAGTCTGGGCACAGGTGCATCTTCATGAAATTATGCACATGGAAACCCTGGTTGTATTGGGCCTAAATAGATTAGACTACTCTATGAACACCTGATTTTATTCCTGTTTTCAAACAATGCCTAAAGCTGGCCATACAACTTACAATTATCTGCAGATTTTCTGTGGTCAGATGGAAAAGGTGCAACAGATTCCTCCATCTACACTTAACTGTGTGGATGGAGGAATCTCCACCTCGGCCAATCTGTTGCACTTTTTCTATCTGACCACAGAAAATCTGCAGATAATTGTAAGGTGTATGGGCACCTTAAAAGCTTGGACTTCAATCTTTGTTCACCTTTGTTGTATTTTGTATTGTAACTCTTTACACTGTACAATTTTGAAAACAACATTTAAAAAAAGTATATTATAGTATAGGTTCAATGACATCACACCTTGTTTCACTGTCCACACAAAAAGAAAAAATGTCCTTCACATCAGATTAAACAGATTGTTCTTCCCCCAGGCACTTACTTTTTGTACGCTGTTTTTACATTGTAGGATGCAGCAGAGTTTAAAATAGGAATGCCAAGGTCCATATAAATTTGCTTCCATATAGCACCACTTTCAATCTGCCGGAAAAGGAGAGAATTTGATTTTAAAACTTGAAGAGTGAGGGAGAGAAACATTTAACACAGTTAACCAAAAAAAGTAAAGTCTACTTACATTGTCACAACCCCCCTGATGATAGACGAGCCTAAAAAGCTTAAAAAGATTCAGATCCTTATATCCCAATACTGGAGGCTTGTTAATTGGGGTTCCTGCAAACAAAGGTGAAAATATTTTACAAAATATATGTGGACAGCAAAAACATTGGATTCCTTGTAAAATAACTGAATTTTAAACAGGTGTAAGTCAATTCATAGTAAGAGTCCTCCTTTTAAAACACTGACTGCAAGGGAGGCAGCATGCAAACTTCTCATACCAAACATTCATCTTAAAAAAAAAAAAAAAAAGACAAGTTATCACAAATAAATGAAATGGCTTTTCAAATTTACAGTTATAGATTTGAAAATTCGGAAGGTTCCCCCATACTTTCAGCAAAAACAGAAAAGTTGGAAAAGGCCAAGAAGAAAACCCCAGTGATGATGCCCTACCTCTCAAACACCTACCAACTGCTTCCACTACAACAATTGCTAAATTTCTACAGGTACAGCTATCCAGCATTGATTATCTGCTAGATAAAGTGAATTCAGACATAATTTACAGGTAATATGCACACGTATGGGCCACAGCCAAATGCCCAAACTGATTACTATCCACTCAGATAGTAAACAGATAAGGGGGAAATCCTAGACATAGGACTCCCCACATCAACTGCAATGCTCAATATCAGTCCTCAAGGGCTACAAACAGTGAACTATTTGCCTCTATCTTTTAAAAGCAAAGCTGCATATAACCATCTATGAGCCTCAAGAGAACTGAAAAACCTGAGCTGTTGGCAGCCCTTGACCAGAACATCTATCCCTGCACAACCCAAAAACCTACCAAAATGTGTAGTCTGAGGGTCGATGCACACCTTGGTGACACCGTGCGGCAATCGTGCACGACTCCGCGCAGATTGCCGTGCGGTCAGGAGTCGCCCAGGTGTGCACCGATCGCGCTGTGGGTGCCATTATTTTCCAATGGCACCCCAGTTGCGCCGGGCGGATTGCGCAGTTTCCCACCGCGATTCCGCCCGTGCTTCCGAACACTATCACAGCTAAAACAGCCGTGCGTCGTGTATCGCAGAAAAAAGGCACATCGTGTTTGGAAGCACGGGCCGAATCCCGCACGATCCGCCCGGCGCGACTGGGGTGTCATTGGAAAATAATGGCACCCACAGCTTGATCGGTGCACACCTGGGCGACTCCTGACCGCCGAGGTGTGCACCAGCCCTGAGTGTAACGAGTTACACCCGTTAAAAATGGCTAAATAAGAAAGTCCATCCAGCGTGGTGAAGTTATTGGGGGGTATTTACTACAACTGGAGCAGACAGAATACGGAGCAGTTGTCCACAGCAACCAATCAGCTTCTATCTTACGCTTGTTAAGCTTTCAAAATGGAAGCGAGAAGCTGATTGGTTTCCATGCACAGCTACTTCAGATAGTGTCTGTTCAGTCTTAATACATTCAATTATTGTCACAGTTAACTGTTATATTTAATGTAATTGTATATCTATAGACAAAAGCATATATCAATTTCCTGTGGCAGGAGGAAGTTAAATATGCATTTCCAGATGGCTGGTCATGACATACCTTTCACCTGAAATTCACTTAAACATTCACTTAAAACTAGTGTGATTCAAGAAGATTTAGAGGCTCTAAAGGCCACAGGATGGGTGTAAAAAAATCTGCAACATGAATGTTAATATTCACGGTCAGGTCCCATGGCTTGTAGATCATTTTTGCATCAAGAAAAGTCTACTGCTAAGTGATAAAGTAGAGGTGTTCAGCTGCTGCACCGCTTTAGACTTTTCACTGATGATAGCTTTAAAACATTTTTCACTTCTGGGTGAAAACAAAAAAAGAAATGATGATCTGACATTTGTAGTGTTGCCTTAGTGTAAGTGAAATTGTCAATTACAAAAAGAAAAAGGAATCTTCCCAAATCTATGAGGTAAAGAAACAGCTCAGTGCCCCCACACAGACCGACCAAACTTACAAAGTCACTGCCTTGGGGAGCCGAGCACCCCCGTGGCATGGGCCCTTGGTCGGGTCAATGGGTGAGGGACAGCCTCTACAGTCTGAAGCCTGGAGGCAGCCACTGCAAAAAGTAGAGAGACCAAAATCAGGTTGATGAGAGGTACCGGTCCCTCAATTTCATTACTGCAAACCTGAAGCTTTGGTAAAAATCAGCTTTAACCAACCAGAACATTTTATTTTCACATTTATATCATACTGCAAGCGTTTAAAAGAATGATTCTGAAGATAGAGTTGGAAAGCATTCTTATTGTTCTACAGGTAAAAAACATTGAACATACACACTAATGAATAAACACAAACTAGCATTACACATGGGGAATATGATCCTTTTGAGACCAATTTCATTGGGTCAATGCTGAGCGCTCAATATTTATTTTAACATTTTATCATTTCAGTATTCTATTTTAAAGTTGAACTCTATGCAAACCAATACAAATCACACAGGTGACAAATTATATTTTACTATGAATACTGGGTGAGCCAGTCTTGTGATTCACAAGGCACCGAATAGACAAAAGTTCATTTTAGAGGTTCCTGGATCAACTTCCAGCTCACAGACCAGAAGCGATGATTGCGACTCATTGCCCAATACAATAAGGCTGTATTGGTGAACCAAGTAATAGATGTGTCACCTGCCTGTCTATGCAGCATGTAAATTACAAGAATAGCTAAATGATTTTGCAAATCCTTTAAAACATAATAAAAATATCAAACCAAGAGAATATAAATAAGTCTTATTGATGTGCCATATATCTAACTAGTGTCCTCAGTTCAAAGAGGAAGTCCATAAAAACATTTTGTTAAAAATACTTCATCTTCAAACTCACAGAAAGCTGTGGGACGTAATGAGCTTTCTATTTTAAACCAAAAAGTGGACAGCTTCAAATCTTGTGCGTCAGCGTTCAACAATGCAAAAGCCTTTGTGCATCTGAGCTATGAATAATGATGTCAACACACAGGCGGACTATCTGCACAAAAAACTGACATCTTAAAAAAACTTTATCTGCCAGTGCCAACCACCTGCTCTTCTGTGGGCTGCCGGCAACTTTCAAAGCTGATAAATCCTGAGGTTGGCATATCCCGAGTTATCCACCAGGACATCAAACATTTGGGATGGACTATGCAATAGTTCACAGGAACCTGTATGTGGCTTTTGTACAATTGCTTCCATTGTTCCTCTAACAATACAGGTGGCTGGCCTGGCAGGCCCATAAGTGCCACAATTGGCCATCACAATCCATTATTGCGGATATTTAGTTTCCTGTTCAAAGGTTTTTCATTGTAAATAATAAAAGACTTGGACTAAGCTCCATACTGGAGAACCATCAGCTTTACCTGTATTTCTGCTTAAACCTTTTTTCCAACGTGTACCAACTTGACAATGTTTTAAACTATGCAAATCGTATGCAACTAACTAGAGTTCACATCTGAAATTCTGAAATTATATTTAGAGCCACAAAACGTACTACCTGAAATAAAGACAAACAAGGATAGAAAGCTGCCTTCAGAAATCTACATCGTTTTTTTTAACATCAGCAGGCTTGTTTACACATCCATATACCAAATCATGAATTAATCAGACTTCTCTAAAAAATCAAAGTGAAAGTAGACATGTAAGAACTAAGTCAAAGGAAAGTCACCAAAAACCTCTCTCTCGGCGCTGATGACAGCTCTAGTATGTTCACAATAAAAAAATTCTGCTCAAAACCGGACCCGAGAAATCCTTCAAATCAAATACAAAGGACAGAGCGTCCCTTCCATGTGAAGAAACCTTTATTATATTCAATCCTACTCAGGTGCACGATCCCGGTCTCATGTACACTAGCACCAAGGGGACAGTGTCAAGTTTAGTGTACAGGAGACCGGGATCGTGCACCCGAGTAGGATTGAATGCACATTTTCTGGCATCATTATTACTACAGTACAAGCTTTCCTTATTGGAACATCGTGAGTACTGTATACTGTGATACTTTTTATTCTCATATAATAAACGTTTCTTCACATGGAAGGGGCGCTCTGTCCTTCAGCTCTAGATGCCTGATTATGAAGAAATCAAAAGAACATTCCCAGACAAGGTTTCTCAAATCCTGGTCTCTTGTATCCTTTCAGATGCTGCATGAAACACTTTTAAGGCCAACAGATATCTTATTGAATAGTGTGAGGCGCTAATGATTGGAGAAGGTATTAAAATGACATCTCTTTGTATGTGTCCATCATGTGACCATCTCCTTTACTGTGACCCTCATGATTCAGGAGGTACTAAACATCATTATGGCATCAGATCTGCCTGCTAAATCTGTCAAAGTTAGGGCTGCTGAAGACTTTCTTTACTTCTAGAAGGTTAACTTATGAAGCAATAAAAAAAGTGTTTTCACATAACAGGTCAGTGGGGTAAGAGATCATGCAAATTACTCTGCCATAGTAGTCATTTTGTACCCTTAAGCAAGTTCTTCCTACCATTCATTACGTCTCAGTGAGTTTATGAAGACAGACATCATCTCCAGTCTCAATGGTCTTCATGGCTGCAAGTTTGAAGTTTTGTAACCAGAAGAGTTTGCTATGGAAGATCAGGTTCCTTCATCTAATGCAGACTAGCAGGCACCACTTCAACCAGCTGCTATACCCACAAGCTGCACTCTCTATATTTTTTTGTATCACACTAGTTGTAGTAGGATATTAGTGCAGGAAGTGTATAATCTGGTATAAAAGTGGGAACCCCTCATCAAACATCAGTGAAAAGTTGCATAATCAAGCTGTTTTCTAGATTTTAAAATCAAGCACCTCCAGTGAACCAAAAGAACCTCAAGGAAATATGTTATTAGAAGAATACAAAGGCTACCATAGCTGATTCCATTCAGAGAAAAGAAAGTATGCTGGTTACCCAACTACCCTTCGCTTTAATACTTTGGGATGCCAACCCCAAAGTAAACAAGTGGTTGCGGAGATCTAATTTTACTTGCTGCATACCTTTTAAAAAGGAGAACTATGGGGTCAGGGCTTTTCCCCATAGTTCTCCTTAGGGTAACGTGAGGATACAAACTAGCGTCCTCCCGTTACCCTAAGCTCAGTATACCGCGAGCTGTAGCCAATCAGGAAGCTCGCGCCACGTCATTACACAGTGCCCGGCTTCCTGATTGGCCAGAAAGCCGGCTCCATGCTTCTCATCACTCAGTGACGAGAAGCACGGGGGAGGCTTTCCTGTTAATCGGGAGTCTTTACATGCTGCTTGGCTTCCTATATCGGTACTCAATACCGAAATGCCGGTATCGGTGCATCCCTAATACAATACTTACAAGACAGTTTCCAGCCACAACTAATTAGTGACCGCTTTTATCTTACTTGTACATGGTTTCAGTCATTTAATTTATCTCAAACCACCCTTATAAACTGCTATTAAAGGTCTGTATTGTTCAATGCACAGGCGGTCTCGTACCCCAAGCATAGCACCAACCTTTAGTGCCGTGACAGTTCAGAAAATAGCTGCTTCCATTACTAGGTTCATTCAGTACGGCAGTGCAAAGTCTAACAAAATTTGCAAGGAGACATGAAACCTGCAAAGTGCCAAGCAAAACCCAACTGCATGGATTTACTAGACTTTTGTAGATGGCAGGTTCACTTAAATACAATTCAGATGTAAACATTACTAATTAAATCACAGATGGTTAAGCCTGTGATTGCTCTTGTTGTAAGTGAAGGGCTCACCATCCCATACCTGCTTTATTATTTGTGAATGAATTAGAGCACAAGCAAAACAGATGTTTCCGCATACTCATGCTGGAGTCTTGCCACTTCTGATTTAAAGCAGAGATTCAAAAATGATTTTACACTGGGTTGTATTTTACCTCTGTCTTCCATAAACTTGTAAAGCTGCTGCAGGAAGTTGTCCCTTTCTGCAGGGTCTGCCTCTTCTTCAGGCTACAATAGAAAGAAAGTTAATATATTAGAAAACTAAAACAAAATTATGAATATCTTCAATGGTATTGCATGGAAAGCACAATGATCAACTTACAACTCGAACAATAGTACATTTTCTTGGGTTTTTTAATAACATTAAAGGAGTTGTGAAGGAAAAGTATGGCAAGGCACTTATCGGAATTGCTTTACTATTTGCAGTTTGTTTTTACACAGATGTCTACACTTCAACCACCGGGATCAAGTCCTGCCGTATATCTCACAGGCAAAGATTGAACATTGTTATTCTGCATCATCACAGATGTCTGTAGGACGACTTGAACCATTTCAATATTTTCCTATCCGAAAGCTGGTTGAAATCACAAGAAGATTGCCTGTTTGTAAGGCAAGCACTAGAAATAATTTCAGCAGCACTTCAATATATTCTGCGGTAAAAAGCTATTGGAAATGATTGCGTTTCTTTTAAGGTTCAATGTTCCTGTGATGTTATACTTAGTCATGTTTAGATAAACTCATAGGTTTTCAACTCCTTTAATAATCAATGCACACAAAGCTGTGTGACTATAGAATAACTTACCACCAGCATCTGAAATTTTGGTAACATTCTGTTTAGGATATGTCATAAGATGCAAAAATACAGTGCAGATGGGAGAGCCCTGGTTACCAAATATACTAGCATACTGCCCATTTCAGCAGGTATAGTTCTTTTCAAAACAAAGAGATCTCAACAATATTACTTTTAGTGTAGCCATTAGAATTCAACTTCATTCTGGTAACAATCGGCTATACACATCTTATTACCACTTAGACTAAGGTGGGCATCTTCTACAAATCGGTGGTCGGTAATCCAACATTGAACCATGTGTTAGTTAATGCTGGAATGTGGATTGCAGCTATAACCCTTCCTGTAAAACCCAGCTTTCTACATACATTTGTTATTGAACTGTACATAAGGCTCAGTTCTCAGTAGACTTTTGTTTTCAGGGTTTACTCAGGCTACAAAGATGGCTTCCTGTAGTTTTACGCCTAGTTTTGTCTGGTCACTTTGTCATTTATATTGATAAATGTATACTTTAAAGATCAAATTCAAGCCCAGTTTTGATGCATTGTGGCAGAAGGGGGAGTGATGTGCCGGAAAGCACACTCCTCAGAATGAGCTGTGCCAATATTTGCTCATGAAGCACCCCCTGACTCCGAAAGGCAAGGAGAGAGTATTTCTCCTCAGTGATCCTTGACTGGATGCGGGGTGTCAATGTAATTTGGGCCCAATCACTTTGGAAAACTTTATTCTGCGTTGTGGCTGATTAGTAGCAAGTGGAAAGGGCTACAGAAACCCAGAACACAGTACAGACTCCATATCAACTTCCCACCTATACAGTTCATAAAGCCTTCAAGCCTGGCCTGGCATCAGTGTATGTAAAAGAACCTCAGCTAGCTACCAAACTTCTCTCAGCATTCGTCCAACTACCAGTTCCCTTGCAAGGATCCAGCTTCTACCTAGCTTCACATTCAGCATATTCACTCACCCTGGTACCCCATCACAGGTCAGCTTGCCCTTCTGGCAGGCAAGACAGTGTGAGGCCCAAATCTAGGCCCCCATTTCTGGAGATAAGCAGGCCTGCCTAGCTACTCCATAGACAGCAATACATCCATCCAAACTAACAGGTTTGAGAACCAAGTGACATACTTGTATTCCTTGCGCCTGAAACAGTCAGGACCGTCTGTGTTGCCAAACTACTCGTATTCAACCAACAACTGAAAATATTCTTGAAGAAATCTGGAAGTTCTAAACTGACTGGTGGCAATGGGGAAACAACAGTTATTAGGTATTGTTTAAACAAGTGCCTATGAGATTATTCCAAGAGCAGAATAAGGTTTGCTTGGTATAATGCAAGCCTGTTCCAAATTGTTGTACCCTAGTACCATTGAGGGTGCTCATCTTCATTATGAGTGTAATGGATCAAAGTTCTTACCAAGAACTAAAGTTATTTTCTTAGAAACCAGTTAGATTTAGGAGGGACACTTTCAAAGCAGCTGTGAATCCAACTAGTACCCAGGGGAAGGATACACGGGGGTCGGACTTTAGGTCTTAGGAAGAACAAATTCAGGTCATGGGTGCTTACTTTAGTGACTGCTGTAGCATATAACATATGCTGATTTAATGCATGGACTGGAGATGTCGGCTTTTCTGGGACCCAGTGGCCACATTGGAAAGGACAATATCCTGATTTTATACTGGCTTCCTAAATGTGTCATTACAGCCCAAACAAGGCTAGTGAGCAGATTAAATGGCAACAGTACAAGTTATACCTAAATAATACAATCATTGCAATGGTGGTACGTGAATAAACTAGGCATTGAATGAACACATTAGGCTCAATTCTCAAAGCTTTACACAGAGATAAGGATTTTTATTTTCAGCCACGTGATTTTCAAATATCATTGGATTCAGCTGAAAATAATGGGTCTTTTTTTTTATATATAACTATCCCTAACTTTGTGTTTTAGCTTTGTGTATTGAGCCTACTGTATACAAAAAGGCCACTGATAAATGTTTGTATTTATGATAGAATTGTTGGTAGAACTTTCCAGGAGCACGGGGGGTTGGGGAGGGGTTGGCTGGCGGGGGGAAGAAAGGGAAATATTTGTCACTTTACCTGCTGGGGTTGGTCAATGCACAGGAAAGTAAGCTTTTAGCAAAATTGGCAGATATTCCTAAGCTTTTGATGTGTCCTTTGGGTATAGCTTTGCACCGACCGTACTATTTTACCAATAGACAAATGCACAGCTGCATAAAACCTGTCCATGTGTTGTGTGCTGTCTTCATTGTGCTGTATTAGCAGAGGAGAGGCAGGCAGGCTAGTCATAAGAGGAGACATTAATTGGAAATGGCATGCACAATAGGAAGTACAGCATGCAGGAAAAAAATGGCTGAATACATGCCATCCCACACCAGTGAGCACGTTCATTCAGCTCCATACTAGAATATACAGAAGGATTTGTTAGCGAAATGAAGCTTCTGTCTCAAACACACCCACCTGCTTAACATATGACCAGATCACTGCTAGGCAGCACAGATTCTCAATAGGACAGCGTGAAGAGCACACAGAGCAAAAGCCCCCTTGTCCCTTTTCATAACACTCCGGACCCCCTTCTCTATAGATGGCTTTCAAGCCAGGGATAAAACCCTTGCAGACGTACTGTGGCAGTCCACAGACAGTAAATCATGCAAACTGTATTTCCTTATTGACATGCACAAATGTTTGACAGCTTTCAACAAACAATTCTTAGTCACGGGAAATGCTTCCTTGCAAACCGCATGCATGTGGGCCCATGAGCCCTCAAAGCTACACTAAAAAGGGTCTTTATTCCGATGTGCTGCACACCCAACTCCTTAAGAGGCTGTGATCTGGCTTGGCCTTCCTGTTCTCCTATGCTGCAGGTCGACTTGAACTTAAACGCCCATGCACAGATAAGCAATGCACCGAAGCGTTTAATGATTTGCAGGCAGGAGCGAGTACCCACCCAGTGACAAGGGGGGCAGATCATTCCTGATCTCTTTATTAAACAGGTAGGAAAAAAAGGGAATGGCAGCACACTTATTGTCTGCTAGCATGCCCTGCCTTCCCATGTCAGTAGCACTCTGTGCATGCCATTCTGCTGGAAGCTTGCATGCTTCCTTTTGAGACCCACACTAAAAAAATTAATAAGGCTCACTCCTCAGCATATTTTCACTGTCCAACTGTACTGCCACGGACCAGATAAAATTACGTATACGGAGTCGCGGATACAATGAAAAAGCCCACGCACTCTTCCCCCCCTCTCTCTCCCCATCGGCACAGCAGAAATAACATCACATCATGCTTACCTACCGACACAGCTTTCCCTTTCAAAAAGAGAATTGTTCATGCATATCCTAGCTAGCAGGCGTGTGTGTCTGAGCTGCTCCTAACACAGGCCTGTGCTCTGGGTCTCCTGCCCAGGATAAGCTACACACTTTGCAGCCTTGCCTGCATTCCCTCCCGTATGGGAAAAATCAGACATTACATGAAGAAAAGAAAAAGACAGCCCCGTTTTCAAAGCATCTGGCGAACCTCCCCTGGCAGCCGTCCAAGCCTCTGCTCAACCTTCCTGTCTCGGCAGAGCATGCGTGCTCTATGCCCAGCACCAGGTTTCCATGGCAACACTCTAGGCAGCCCCCAAGTAGGGGGAGAAAGCAGTGTTTTCACATAGACAAAAAAAAAAGAAAAAAATCCCATCAGCAATCGTATAGGGGGGAAAAAAAAAAATGTTTCAGCACAACCAGACACAATAACCACAATCGAGTCTTCTGCTATGTGCTGTACTCCCCTCAATCTGCCATGTGGTGATGTGAAAAAAATAGGATATTGTCTTCATACAATGGCTACAGCGGATCTGGTAATAAAACAAAAGGAGTAACGTTACAAGCTTAGCCAGAAAGTCATCCCTTACTTTTTGTTGTTGTTCCTCCTAAAAAGTTAACTGCAAGTGACATGCATGAGGTCATTTGGGGGCACCGGGGGTCAAGGACATCTACGAGCTCAAATGGGACAGAGCGTCCCTTTCACTGCTACGAGAACTTTGAGGGATTTTCCTTGTCTGCTACTTAACTGCACACAGACAACTGTGTCTGATCGGGGGCCCCACATTTCTAAAGTGGGCAGCCGGTGCTAGGCTTGTAAACAAGTCAGCAGCAAGTCATTTGGTCACTAGGACAGCCCCAGTCAGCTCACTGCAGTATTCATTCTTGGACTTGGTGAGGGATTCTTCTACATATACACACACACACGCCGAGAAAAATAAAATAAAAAAAGTCTATAAAAAACATGCAAAAGCAGAACAATGCACCAAATGTCAACAGGTTTATGGGTTCAAAATCATTTGATAAACAGCTTTTGCTAAATAATCACTTTAGATTTAATAAACTTAAAGTAGTAAAGTAGTATTCAACTCCCAAACTTTTTCAGCAATTAATCCGGAAC